GGGAGGAGCAGGGCGCCAAAGGTGAGCGGCCGGGGTGGGTGGAAGGCTGCAGGGCCAGGGTGGCTGTCCTTACTGCCGCTCCTATTACTGCGGTAGCTTGGAGGGCGGTGGTGTGTGTCCAGTGAGTACCTTAGCAGGGTAACGGGGGACATCTCAGCTGCCTTTCCTGCAGTGTCTGCTAGTGGTTTGAATGCTGTGTGAACTTCAATTGTAAGAGTTCTGTGGTTTTTTTTTTTCTAAAGCGGTATATGAAATCGGCTTCCGTGCTGCTGTCACAGAGATCTCTCTAAACAGCTTCGCTTACTCGGGGTGCACATTTAAGGAGCTTCCACTGTGCTCACCAACCTAGCAGGCAAAATGGGAGAGTCTACCAGGTTTCTGGGCCAGCTGCGCAAGTTTATCTTAGCGTAAGAGATTTCAGTAAATACACGAGCTAAAGGGTGTTTGGAGGGTGATGGTCACTAGGAAGCACAAGAGATTTGACAGACTTGGGAGGTCCACTTTGGGTTGGGATTAGAAGACAGGGATCAGCCTAGTTAAGGTTGGGGGGTGGCAGGGCAGTGTGTGCCAAGCAGAGGGCAGGGCTGGGGCAAAGGCCCCGAGGTAGCAAGGAGCTTTGTGTGTGAGAAAAACGGGGGTTCACATGCCTGGGACACAGCCAGCAGTAGGAAACAAAGGTGCAGGCAGGAGAGCACTGGGTCACGGAGGGCCTTGCAGGTGGGGCTCGGAGGGTGGATGTTGTAGGGGTGAAGGTAAGTGTTGAGGGACAAAGCAGGCCAGTGTCACGGGCAGTAAAAGAATTTACCACAGAGAAAGGAAGGTTTAAGAAACAAAGGAAAAGTTTAATAAATAGGCTGCTGCAGGCAGCAGTGGGCCACACAGATGGTGCCTGTGTGAGCAGTGGGGTGAACGTGCGGGGTCTTTTATTGGGGAAGGGGCTGTGAACACAAAGGGACAGGGGAACAGATTTTTGATTGGCCGTAAATGAGGTGAGGGGCTTTGGTGTATGGCAGGTTGGTGGGCTTTATGACTCCGATGTGGAGGAAACGCGGGCTGAGACAAGTCAGCCTGAGCTACGGCAGATCAGCGGTGTTTCCTGTGGGCCACTTTGACGGGTCATAGTTAGTGATTTCACATAGGTGCCCTCAAAGGGTGGCGTTTTAAAGGGTCATAACAAGTTACATCTTCATTCATGTTAAATATTAGTTGACGAGTAAACGTGGAAGACTCTTTCCGATCAGATCCTTGTAGGGGTGAAGCTGACCATGGCAAGCCAGCAGATGTGGACACTACACGGGAGCTGGCCTCAAATCCAATGCTTCTGGAGTAGCCCAGCAGGTGGCACTCACTGAGCTAGGGATCGGGACTAGCGCCTGATTTGCGCAGTAGATGGAGCGCCTCTAGGGGTTCACAGCTGTACGAGGTATTTGTCAGCAACTTACCCACTTTCAAGGGCTGCGGGGCGGCAGCCTTTACGTGGAACAGGTATGTCCAAGGAGTAAGCCCATCTAGCCTCACTGCCGTGGGAACGGTCAGAAGCACCGGATGAGGTCGCGTCCAGACAGGCTGAAGCGGCTGTTTGTCCTGTGGAAGAATTTGAGATAAACCCAGTCCCTGGGGACAAGGTTTGGATGGGAATTTCCTGAAAATCAGGGTCAGGCTTTGGACTCGCATGATCATGATACTCAGCAGGGCCTCTGCAGTCTGATCTGAAGTCACCGCGTGTTGGGCCAGGTGGTGCCTCTCAGAAGCCGCTAGTGAATCTGTCTGGAGGAAGGGCCTGCCACGGGGGAGCCTGGAGACTTAGTGAGCTGCTGCTTTTGGAGTAATTCGTGTTCGTAGCAAGGCAGTAGGGAGGAGGGTGGACCAGGACTGCTGGGCTTCTTGTGTAAGTTTTGTTAGGATTCTTTTTTATTTTATTCTTTTTACTGTTTGGTTGGCGCTCTCTACTTTGCCAGAGGACTGGGGGTGCCGCATAGCATGTGAACGATGTTTGACTTGCAGGGCTTCTGCCAGTCCTTGGGTTATTTGAGGAACAAAACCTGGGCCGTTGTCTGGTTGTTAAGGAGCAGGGTAGGCCGTAACGGACTAACCATGAGCCAGCAAAGCAGCAGCTACTTCTGGTGTCCTCTCTGTTTTCGTGGGGAAAGCTTCAGTCCGTCCTGTGGCAGCGTCCATAAACGCCGGGAGGTAATTCAGGTCTACATGGGGGCTCGTGGGTGAGCTTTATCTGCCAGTCCTGTCCTGGTGGCTGAGGTTCTTCTCTGAACTGGGTGAAGGAGAGGCGGTGGCCTAACGTGTCCCTCGCTATTAACCCGGCGACGAACTGGGTGTGCGTGGGAGGTGTCACGCAGGGTCTGAGAAGTCCCCTTTCCCGCGAACGGAGGCTGTGTTAAGTCCTGTAGGGCCTTTGCCCCCAAAGGGGCGGACTCGTGGAGGTTCTGTGGCGCTTTCTGTGCTCAGGCTCTTGGGAGTCACCATTACCCTCAGGGCTTTTAAGCCATCTTCAGGAGTGAAAGTGAGTCCCGTGTTTGTTGCCTCCTGCATTTTCCCTCAGTGTGCTGAGGGGTCCCCGGCATGCGGGTTGGAAGTAAAGCTGCCTGAGTGGGAAGTTTTGCCGCTTCTCTGGCCTGTTTGCTTTGTGATTTTTCTCGGGAAATCTCACGTTACCCTTTGATGCGCTTGACGGAATCACTGCCATGTGTAGGAAGCATAATTTACAGCTTCCAGCAAGTCTGAGATTTCCGAAGCATGTCTGGTGGGTGTGTTTTGTGCTGTGAGAAGACCCCTTTCTCACCAGATGGCGGCATGTGTGTGAACAACACGGAAGGCGCATGATGAGTCAGTGTCAGCGTTTAACCTCACTCCTGCCCCTGGTTGCACAGCTCGGGTGAGAGCTGTGCGTTCAGCCTTCTGAGCAGAAGAGGGGCCTCCGGGAGGAGGCCCTGATTCTGTAGCACTGGCAAGGCTCACAGAGGTGTAACCGGACAGTCGAGCCCCATTTAACATAACACTCCCAGCACCAGGAAGCCAGGTGTCATCTGGGTCCTCAAGCGGCTTACCTTGTAAGTCTGGTCTAGCAGCACAAGTCAGATCTAGTATCTGAAGGCATGAGTGTTCAGTAGAGGAGTCTGCCTCTGGGTCAGGAAGTGAAGGGGCTGCGCTGAGGGTTTGACACTGTTTAATCATGAGTTCAGGAGTTTTTAAGAGGAACGTTCGCTATTTGGTGATCTGACTGTCAGAGACCCAGTGAAAAGGCTTTGAATTTAGAATGCCCATTACTTGATGGGGCGGGTAGGCAGTTAATTTTGCCCCAGAGTTAATTTCGAAACCTCTTCAACTACAGAAGCTAGAGGTCTGAGGCACGGGGCCCTCCTTGGGCCACAGGATCCAGATTTTTAGAGAGAGATGCTCCAGGCCGCCTGGTGGGTCCTGTGGAAGGACTTCCAGGGCAACCCCGCGTTCCATGCACGAACAGGAGAAAGGGTTTTGTAGATTAGGCAGAGCTAAAGCTGGGGCGCTGTGGGGGCCTGTTAGAGGGTTTGCAGTGCCTGGTCCATCTCAGGGCTCCTTTTCTGGTCCCTGTAGAGCTGCGTGGAGCAGCTTTGCTATGAGGCCAAACCGGGGTGTCCAGGCCCTACAAAACCCTGCCATTCCCAGGAAAGCTCTGGGGTCCCCGTGTCTAGAGTAGTCTGTTTCTCTGGACTGGCAAACCCGTTGTTCCTGGGGTTACTGTGAGGCCCAGGAATTGTGCCCTGTGAGTGCATGTTTGGGCCTCAGAGGGAGAGACTTTATCCCCACGTGAGGCCAGTTTTTGTAGTGCCATTATGGTGCTTGAGTCAGAAGACTCTCTATCAAGGCTACACGTTGGCAAGTCTGCTAAATATAGAGGTAAGGCCCTGCCGGGGAAAACCGAAGCAGAGAGATCCTTTGCTAGAGCTCGTCCGGATAAATGGGGGCTGTCTCTGACCCCCTGGGACGGGACTGTCCAGGTTGACGGTTGGGACACTTCAGTTTGTAAATCTTGCTTCAAGAGCAAAAGGAAACTGGGAGGGAGGGTGTCCAGGATGCAGAGGAAGGCCTCCTTAAGGTCTCACACAGTACCAGAGGGTTGAGCGGGACTCTGCCCAGACTGTCAGGGATTTGCCCAGTGGGTGTGTGGAGACCACAGCCTCACGGAGGCCGTGAGCTCAGCCACCCATACGTCCCATCCGCCTTTTATACGGGTGGGATCAAGTGTTGCATGGCAATGACAAGAATGCAAGAAACAGGTACCGGAGGCCCCTCCAGGCCGCAGGCTTCAAACGCTATTGAGTATATGGAGGGGAAATGGTTACTGAGATTCCTGAGGGGAAAGGGGTTACTCAGATTTCTGAGGGGAAAGGGGTTACTCAGATTCCTGAGGGAAAGTTAGGTTCTTTCATCTGGACTTGCACCGGCTTAGCCAGGTCTGGCTCTTGTCGCTGGCCTCTGAGGTGCTTGCTGGCCTTAGCAGATTGTGTGTTTTAGGGCTGAGGGCTGAGCTGCCGAGGGGCTGACTCTGGGAAGTGGGGGTGGGCGCGAGGCTTGGTCTCTAGTGTTGTGGGGCGTTCGGGAGGACAAGGAGCGTGGGAGTGAAAATCAGTTTTCTGGAGTCCTGGGTAACTGTGGGGTTGATCGGCCAGTCTGGGGATGGCCGTCTGTGCCAGGAAGGAGGACCCAGGACCGGCAGCTCGGTCTAGGAAAACGTGAAGTTCCGGTGGTGTAAGTGTCTTTCGAGTCAGCTAGAAATGTGACTGACTTTCCTGCCACAGCCTCTGGGCCCCGTGGGCCGGGGGAGGGCCACTCCCCCCCCTCGGTACTTGCCCGGCTCCTCAAAGTCGAGGAACGGAGTTGGGGGGCCTGCTGGCCTCTGTGGCTCCAGCCGCAGGCGCGCCCTGGGGCACGGGCCTCGGCCTTGACAGGGCTCCTTGGCTCTGGGGTGGCCCTCCCAATCCCGCGCCAGGAGAGAGGGGCAGTCCGGCCTCCAGTGACCCTTTTCCTTGCATACAGGGCAAGGCCTGGAGGGGCCTCCCCGCAGTGTGGACTGGGATGCCCAGCCTGTTGACAAGGGAGAGAGACGGTCTTGTCCAGGGCGGGGCTCCCTGCGGACAGACGCTTGTGCTTGCGGCCGGTTGAGTGGGTGCCTGCGGGGCGTTGGCAGTCCTGGAGGCCTGGTGTTCAGTCTGCTGCTTGTCCCTCCCGTTTCCCGTTCCCCCTCGGTGTCTCTGCCCGGTCGGTAAAGACCTGGAAGCCACACCTGACAGGACAGGAGGGGCGTCTGTGGGCCGTGGTCAAGCTCCTGAAGCCTGTTGTCTGGTGTGTGGGGACGCCGGGCGGCTGAAATGAGCTGCTCGTGTCGCGGGGCCCCCTGAGCTGTCAGGGCTGCGACTGGGGCACTTCCACGTGGCTTCCGCCAGCCTGGAATGGAGGAGGGCTGGACTTCCATCAGGTGTCTGAAAGATCACTCTCAGTTCAGTATAATTAACAGGTCTCACCACAGCCTTTTTCATCCCTTCCAGTAAGGAGGCAATCACGTGGTTGCGCCGTTCGCTCCCGGGGCCCCTTTCTTGTACGTCCAGTGGAGATCTGCTTCCTTCCCAGGCTTGGCATTTTGGGCAGCTCGAGCGTGGACCTCGTCAGCCCAGCGCTGACCGAGGACCAGATGCGGCTTTTTCTCCACTAGTACAACAGGTGGTGAAAACAAGTACGTCCTGCCGGCTCAAGTCAAAGGCGGTGAGGACCTGGAACTCCTGTATGAAGCGAGACGCGTTCTGGCTGAAAGAGCCTAGCCTGGCCTGTGTCTGTGAGGGTCCTGACACAGAGAAGGCCCATGGCCCCGAACGGCGCCCACTTCCCCATCAGTGACCTCACGAGGGGGCAGCGTGCTGTCTTGTTCTGGGACTTCTGGAACATCCATCTTAACTGGGGGTGCCGGTCCTGCTGTGTTGTAAATAACACCTGGTCCGGCGTGTGGTGGGGAGAAGGGGCCCTGATACAGAGCGGGGACCAGGAGCGGTACTCAGCCGTCGAGGGGCCCAAGGGGAGAGGGGGCGGGGGAGAGGCAGAGGACGAAGGAGTCCCAGAGCTGGGGCGGTCGGAGGCGGAGTGGGCAGTGAAGGCTGTAGAGAAGGCGTCTGGTTGTCGTTAGGAACCCGAGAGAGGAGGGGTCAGCCAGAATGTCTGGCTGATCATTGGGCACACGGGGACTGGAGTGTGGCGGGGTCTGCAAGAATCGGGAGAGACACATACGGTAGTTTTCACGAAGGTCCGAATTTGGGGAGAGAACTGTAAAAGCCTGGACACAGGGGACCTCAGACCGTTTGCCCAGTTGGCGACAGAAAATCAAGCTGGAGAAGAGTGTTAGACTTCAGGGTCCCCGAAGGGGCCGGGTCTCCTGATCTGGAAGTTGGTACTGGGGCCAGGTGACATTACAGAAAAAGACAAGCTGCTTTTTTTTTCCCAATGTCTGGGAGTCAGACTTACTCCAGTGTTTCAAAATGCACCCAGCAGTGAGTCCTGGGGAACAGAAGCAGTGCCTCCCGTGGCAGTTAAGGGAGGTAGCAGAGAGGGAGCCAGCAGGCTGTTCTGGGGCATCTGCCCCAGAAAGAGAGGCCAAACCTCCGGCGTCCTTTTACTTTGGGTGTCCCCCAGGGAAGGGAAGCCAGCCGGCACGTGGGCCAAAGCCGGTGCCAAGGCCACCAGCGGAGAGGCTGAGAAACAGACCAGCGCGGGGGCTCAGGGAGCCATCCCACTAGTGCCAAGGGGTCAGTGCCAAGGCCAGACCAGCGCGAGGGCTGAGCAGCTTAGAAAGAGGGAAAGGCCGCACCTCGCCCACTGGGGGCTTCTGCCTGGGCAGGGATTGGAGACAGGAGACTCAGCTGATGTCTCTGACGCGTCGTGGTCGCAGAGGCGGTGTGGGAGGAGACGCAGGAGGACAGCATCTGGCTCTTGGGCTCCGAGACCGCAGAGCGGGAGCAGGAAAGTCCGTATGGGAGTGCACTGATTGTGGGGAGAAGGGCTTTTACCCGCTGGACCCGCCTTTCCCTCTCACGTGTCTGGGGCCGACCAGGAGACAGGGTCCTGGGTGACTCAAGGCACTGGACGACCAGTCCTCATGTGTGCCTTCCCCGGGGAGATGCAGAGCCCCCTCTGGCCCAGGGACGGGCTGTGTAGTAGCCAAGAGCTAAGCGGGTGGAGGAGGTAGAGAAGGAAGGTGCTTCCTGTGTGCGTTCCTGAGGTCGGGGCAGGGGTCACCCCCGTCCATCAGACCGCGTTTCAGAGCCCGCTGAGAGCAGCCCAGCCGGAGGTCCTCAGTTCTCGGCAGGACTTGGGAGAAGTCCCCAACACTAGGGAGCAGCGGGAGGGGAAGTGAGAGAGAGCAGAGCAGAGGCGGGCAGGGAAGCCCGCCCCGGCCGTCTGGCCTCCTGCTCAGGGGAGAGGCCGCAGTATGAAGTGGGGGAGAGAGATCTGCCCCTAGGCTCCGTGTACCTTTGGAGTCCCCCATGTTTTGGGGGTTCCCCATACGGGCTGCCAAATGTTTGGTGGACACGGTGGGCCAGTGTCGCCGGCAGTAAAAGGATTTACCAAAGACAAAAGGAAAGTGCAACAGATACGCTGCTGCTGGCAACAGCGGGCCACACAGACAAGAGGTGCCTGTGTGAGCTCGGGGGTGAGCGTGCAGCGTCTGTTACTGGGGAAGGGGCTGTGAACACAAAGGAGCGGGGGAGCAGATTTCTGATGGGCTGAGAGTGAGGTGAGGGGCTCTGGTGTATGGGAGGAGGGTGGGGGTGGGCTTACGGCCCCAGCGGGATGGAGCTGAGACAAGGCATCCTGCGGCGGGGCTGGCCGTTTCCGGGGCTAACAGTGCTCGGGTCACACCGTCAGGAGAGGGGGCACCTCATCTTCCAAAGAGGAGCAAGCAGGCGCCCAGGGGCTGGAAGTTGGGGTTGCAGGCCCAGCTGGCACCGCGGCAAGTCTCTGGGCGTTTGGCTTCGGGAGTGGCGCCTTTTGGTGTGTATTTCTCGACTCCTGTAAGGCCAAGTGGAGCGTGCCTCGTGGGGGGCTGAGGAGAAGCCAGGAGAAGGTAGAGGCTTGTGGGATCTCCTCCTTGCGGCCTCTTCAGCCTGAGTGTGTGCAGGGCTTGGACAGGCGGGTTCGGGGCTCCTCACCCGGCCTCCTTCTCCCGCCCTCTGTGACAGGTCCAGCCGTTCCTGCCGGTGTGGCTGGCTGAACCGAGCTGCGTTGGAAAGAACATCATGGAAGGCCTGGTGCCTATCGAGGACATCCCTGAAGTGCACCCGGACCTGCAGAAGAAGCTGCGGGCACAGGGCATCTCGTCCTACTTTCCAGGTGCCCTGCCTGGGCAGGGGGAGGGGCGGGCGGGGGAGGGGAGGCTCGTTCTAGAGGCAGGCCACCCCTGTGCTCGGTGTCGGCGTCTCGGGCCTCTCGATGGCCCTGGAGGCTCTGGGGCCTCAAGCAAGAGCCGCCCAGCCTGGAGTCCCAGAGCCAAGAGAGGCCGCTGGCAGCCCGATATCTGTGCTCGTGAGCCCCGGGCATCTGCACAGACGTGACTTGCCCCTCACCCTCTCCATCCAGTCCAGGCAGCGGTGATCCCCGCGCTCCTGGAGAGCGCAGCCGGCGGGTTCCTGGTGAGCAGAGGCGGCTACCGGCCCAGCGACCTCTGTGTTTCCGCCCCTACGGGCAGCGGGAAGACCCTGGCCTTTGTCATCCCTGTGGTGCAGGTGAGTGTGAGGGCCCCTCACCGGCCAGGCGGGTCTGGCAGGCACAGAGCTGCTGCTGCTCACACGGCTGTCTCACCCCCACAGGCCCTGCTGCCCCGAGCCGTGTGCCGGGTCCGCGCCCTGGCCGTGCTGCCAACCAAGGAGCTGGCCCAGCAGGTACGTGGGCCCCACGCCTGGCGGTCAGCCCCAGGTTGCTCTCGCTGCAGCGGGGTCCCCGGTCATGCTGCTGACGGCTGCTCTCCTCCAGGTGAGCAAAGTGTTCAACGTCTACACAGACGCCACCTCCCTGCGGGTCGCCCTGGTCACTGGGCAGAAGTCGCTGGCCAAGGAGCAGGAGAGCCTGGTACAGAAGACGTACGTCCTGCTGGGCTGTGGGCTCTCCTGGGAGGTGGCCCACTCTGTGCAGCCAGTGTGGCCATCTGGCCCTGGGGGTGGGGAGCAGGGAGCAGGGCGCAGGGCAGGGGCCCCGCCGAGCCACTCTCTGTTCCACAGAGCTGACGGCTTCCGCTGCCTGGCCGACATCGTGGTGGCCACACCCGGCCGCCTGGTGGACCACATCGACCAAACCCCGGGATTCAGCCTCCAGCACCTCCGCTTCCTGGTAGGTCACCCGCCGGGAGGGAGGCCCGGGCCCCGAGCCGAGGCTGACCTCAGTCCCCTGTCTCCTGCAGGTCATCGACGAGGCTGACCGGATGATCGATAGCATGCACCAGTCCTGGCTGCCACGGGTGGTGGCGGCGGCCTTCCCCAGCGGGGGCACCAGGGGCCCCTCTGCTCTGCTGCAGAGAACGCAGCCCCAGGCTGTGACCGCAGCCAGGTACCTGGCCCTGCGCCACGCTTCGCACCCAGGAGAGCAGCCCCGGGCCCAGGTCCCTCCCACTGCCCCCGTCTTTGAGACACCCCCCACACACACACTGGGTGGGCTGGCTGGGCTGCTTCCCCAGCACCCCCTCTCTTTCAGCATCTGCTGTCCCCAGACGCCACTGCAGAAACTGCTCTTCTCGGCCACCCTGACCCAGAACCCTGAAAAGCTGCAGCAGCTCGGCCTCTTCCAGCCCCGGCTCTTCTCCACGGGGGCGGTGCGCAGGGGCCTTGGAGCCCCTGACGTGGACGTGGATGGGGACTTGGGTGGGAAGTACCTCTTCCCTGCGGGGCTCGCGGTGAGCAGGGCACGGGGGGCTGGGGAGGGGGCACATCTCGGCACCTGGGCCCTGGCCAACCCCGCGCCGTCCCCCACAGCATCACTACGTGCCCTGCAGCCTCCGCTCCAAGCCACTGGTCGTCCTGCACCTGATCCTGGAAATGAAGTTCTCAAGGGTCCTCTGTTTCACCAACTCCCGCGAGAACGCCCACAGGTGAGGCCTGGCTGCGCAGGGCGGGGCAGGAGCCGAGGCAGAGGTGGCGATGGCCTCGCCCACCCGGCTCTGGCTCCTCCCGCCCAGGCTGTTCCTGCTCGTCCAGGCTTTCGGGGGAGTGGCCGTGGCCGAGTTCTCCTCTCGCTACGGGCCTGGTCAGAGGAAGATGATCTTGAAGCAGTTTGAGCAGGGGAAGATTCAGCTGTGAGTGCCCGGACGGCGGGCGGGGGCCCTGCTCGGGGTTCCTGAAGGGCGCTCCCAACTCCACGGCACGGGAGCTAGGGGTGGGGGGCCTTGCTCCTGGCCCCGGGCAGGGCCTCCAGCCGCTCGTGTCCCACCAGCCTCGTCAGCACCGACGCCACGGCCCGCGGCATCGATGTGCAGGGTGTGCAGCTGGTGCTGAACTACGACGCCCCCCAGTACCTGCGGACTTACGTGCACCGGTGAGGCTGGCCTGGGGCACCTGTGGGGGCTGGTCCTAGGTCTGGGTGGGGTGGCCTCGAGAGGGCCAGGGGCCACCGTCCTGGAGGTGGCTGTGCCTGGTTTCAGGGTCGGCAGAACCGCCCGCGCTGGGAAGACCGGACAGGCCTTCACGCTGCTCCTCAAAGTGCAGGTCAGTCCACGTGGCGTGGGTCTTAGCAGGAGGCCAGGGGTGGGGCTCTCCCGTGGGCACGGGGAGGACGGGGACCTCTACCCCTCGAGTGCTCCCCTCCAGGAGAGGCGATTCCTCAGGATGCTGGCCGAAGGCGGGGTGCCGGGGCTGCAGCGGCACGACACCCCCAGCGAGCTCCTGCAGCCGCTGGTCCCGCGGTACGAGGAGGCCTTGTCCCAGCTGGAGAGGGCGGTCAAGGTGAGGGCTGGGCTGCCTCGTGTCACTGCCCGTGGAGGGAGGGGACGGGGAGGGGACGCCCCAGGCCTAGGGTGGGAGGTGTGCCAGGGTCAGGACTCCTCTTTCTGAGTGAGCTCTGGGCATCTCTCCCCGCGGGGGCGGGTGGGCAGGGGGGGCATCGTGCCCACCTCCCCCCTCTCCTCCCGCAGGAGGAGCAGAAGCAGAAGGCGGCCTAGGCCAGGGCTGTGGGTGGACCTGGAGGGGTCCGTCCCTTTCTGATGGGGTTTCCACCTCCTTTCTGGAAACATCTGAATGCTGGCTGCTGGACTTGGGAGCAAATCACAGGGATTCCTCCTCGGAAAGGGCTCTGTCCCCAAGCTCGCCGCCTCAGCCACACCCCTGGACCCGTGCGTTCATCGCCCCACCAGACCCGCCAGGGGACCGTTGAGGACGCACAAGGTCAGCCTCCACTCGGGGCTTTTCTGGAAATGAGGCTTTAGTGAACCAGCTGAAACTGCCTCAGAACTGACTGGATGGCGTCTGTCGTGTGTTTGGCTGAAAGGTGGGGTCTGGCCTCGGGGTAACTCTGGGTTCAGTGCTTCGGGGCATGAGCCCCACTCCCGTGTGTGAGGTGGTGGTGCCAGGCCCCAGCTGGGGACCCGCTGGCCCTGGGCAGCCGACCCGGGAAGGAACTGTTCCTCACGAGGTGTCACAGATCAGGACTGCACTGTGGTCACCGACGCTTTGCTTCACGACTTGTCACCGTGGGAGACAAGCTCGGAGTGAGATGGGCTCCATCACGTGAACAGAAAACGAGCTTCAGGGCGCTGACCACTGTCGGTGAGAAAGCCTCATTTCCGAAACTCACGTGCTGGCGTTAAAACACACGTAGAATCGGAGTCGACTGAGGTTCTTCGTCTCTGCCTGAAGGTGCATCACCTGCGTCAGCAGAGTGACAGTCGACACACTGGCCCTCACGTCCTGTGTGCTGGCTGTCACCCGAGGGGACGCGTGGTGCAGGTGTGCGTCACGTGGGCGAGCCCTGGCACGCTGGGTGCGTGCCGGGGTCCAAGGCCTGGGGCCCTGAGGGACAGTGCAGGGCAGGGTTCGACGCTGAGATGTGCGTGTTCAGGATTCCCAGCTCCAGGTACTTACCTGCGAGGGGCACTGCTGAGGGGGCTCTGGGCGCCACCACCCTGCGCGGCACAGCCTGGAACAGTGTGGGAAGAACTGGAAGGGCAGGTGCAGAGAGTGAGTGGCTCGACCCCCTCGCTGGCACACGGGTGCGGGTGGCCTCAGCTGTGTGTGGGTCCCAGACCCATCCTCAAGTTACTGTAACTGTGGTTCTGGTGTGAAAGGAGAATGTCTCGATGCAGCTGTGAGGTGCACTTGTGTAAGTATAGGCCATGCCACCCACTTCCACAACAGGTAATGAAGCCCGGGAACTTTTACCTCGTCGTTAACAGCTTCAGGCTCCTCCAGGGCCCAGTCACTCTGCCTCAGGTAAGCTCGTAACGGGGCAGAGTGTTTCTTAAAAGCTAAGCCAGCCATCACGTTCCCTCGAAGGTGCTGCAGGAGAGTATTTCTCTAATCCTGGGAGAGTGAAAACTTCCCTGATAAGCACGACAGGAAACCCAGATGCCACAAAGGAAAACACGAAGGTCAAAACACAAAACAGTCGGGGAAGGTATGTGCGGGATGTGACTTACAGCCTCAGAGGGGCACCACCTCTAACAGCGAAGAGCTCCTCCCAGCCAGTCAGAAAGCAGCTTACAGGGAAACGGGGAGGAACAGGCGGCCTCTGCAGGGGCGGGAAGCCCTGCCACCGGCTCGCTCGGCTGGCGAAGCTTCACACAGCAGAGGCCCCTGCGCGTGGCCGAGAGGAATGTAAGCGGCTGTAACTTCCTGGGAAATACCCTGTCAACACCGACTAAGATTTTAAATGTACACGTCCCCTGACCCATTCTCCCAATTTAGTTCCCACTAATGGGAATCTAGCCTACAGAAGGCAAGTACCGGGAACCACATGTAAAAATGCTCATGACTCGCAGCAGCAGAAGTCGGGCACAAAGTGAAACCCGTCTGTGGGGAATAATCGAATAAACACGGTATCTGCTCACTGTGGACACTGTGGACAATTATGCAGCTGTAAAAATATTGTGTGTTTTTTTTTTAAATCTATCTCCTGACTTGAGTAGACGTTGAAGACCTATTGCTAAGTGAAGAGGGAAAAAAAGTGGGGTTGGGGGTGGGGTAAATGGGACTGAGGAGGCCAGGAGAGAAAGGAATTCTTATTTTTCTGTGTTGTTTGAATTCTTATGAGGATGTATTTTATAATATTTAAAAACTAATTTGAAAATATGCCAATTTCAAGGTACAAAAAAATTTACTTTGGCAAATCAAAGTTTTCCTGACTATCTTGAGATCTGAAGAAGTCAAAGAAATTAGCCAGTAGCAGGGCGGGGAGCACAGCTCAGTGGTAGAGCAGGGACTCGGCGTGAATGAGGTCCTGGGTTCAATTCCCAGTGCCTCCATTAAGGGGAAAAAAGCCAGAAACGAGTATGTAACCTCTGGCAGTTGCGATGAAACGAACCTCTGTGCCTTCTCACTGCTGCACCTGGGGGAGAGCTCCCCATTCCAGGTTTACAGCTCTGCTTTGTCCACTTACCAGCATCGCTCTGTGCCTCAGAGGTAGGTGTGGTGATTTTGTCCAGGAAAACGGGACCTTTAGCAGGGGCTGGGTTTTCCTTCTGCTTAAAATGCCTCAGCACCGTCACACTGCGCCAACCATATTCCTTCACCAATCTCTGCCACGTGGTGGGGTCCCCAAAACTTTTAGGGGACCAAGAATCACTTTGAAATGTTTTGTTCTACATAAATGCAAAACAGAAACAGACTCACAGACATAGAATACAAACTTGTGGTTGCCAAGGGGGCACAGGGTGGGAAGGGACAGGCTGGGATTTCAAAATGTAGAATAGATAAACAAGATTATACTGTAAAGCACAGGGAAATTATAAGATCCTGTGGTAGCTCACAGCGAAAAAAAATGTGACAATGAATATATATATGTTCATGTATAACTGAAAAATTGTGCTCTACACTGGAATTTGACAATGTTGTAAAATGACTATAACTCAACTAAAAAAGTTTAAAAAAATAAAATGTTTCGTTCTTGACAGAATGTGCAAGTGCCCCATGGTCCTCAGGGTCACTCCTGAAAAGCATTCTTTTAATGCTTTCAAAATATGTAAATATCACCTAACAAATGGGCGATCTTCCCAGCACCTCCCAAGGGCCCCGCATTCCAGTATCAACTTTAAAATATTAAAACTACTGTTTTTACCTGGAGATCGTCATTCTAAGTGAAGTAAGCCAGAAAGAGAAAGAAAAATAGCAATATGATATCACTCATGTGGAATCTTAAAAAGAAAAAAAGGAGGACACTAGGAACTCATCTACAAATCAGAAACAGACTCACAGACAATCTTACAGTTACTGGGGGAAAGGGGGCGGGAGGGGATAAACTTGGGAGTTTGAGATTTGCAAATGTTAGCCACGACATATAAAAATAGATTAAGCAAATTTGTTCTGTTGAGCACAGGGACTATACTCAGTATCTTGTAATAACCCTCATGAAAAAAAAAATATGAACGTGAACATACGTATGTATATGTATGACTGGGACATTGTGCTGTTCGCCAGAAATTGACACATTGTAACTGACTACTCCAATTTGAAAAAAAAAACAACACTTTACCACTTTTCATCATCTGTGATGAAAACTGTTACAACGATGATCATTTACATTTAAGTTTTAACGTGATCATCACTTCAGTTTTGCGGCCACGGGCCCAGGAGTACTCTGTACTACACTGTCCTCAGAAAACCTCTTTTTCCGTGTCTGCTGCTTACCTTCAGAGGAGAAAGTTCTGTCTATTACCTCGATGTGAACATTAAGTAGAGACTTTTACAAATAAACTAACCACCTGTTAGTTTGGCAGAGGTTACAGAAACATGTGTGCAATACCTCTGTCATTTTGTCGGCGTTGGCCGTCGCCACTCAACGAACAAAGCCTGGGAAGTTGAAGACCCAAGACCGCAGTTGGAAAGTAAGTTCCGTGTATTGAGGTCCTCCACGCCCTCAGTTCTGCAGACGCCGGGACTGCTCGCACGTGTCACTCCGACATGGCCCCACGGAGCAGGGGATGGTTCATCCAGTCCGACGGACCAGAAACTGGTCAGCCAACCTGCCTGGATCTCTGCAAGTAAGCTAAGACTCCAGTGCCAGCGGGCCTTCTGCAAACTAAGTAGCTAAACCAGTTTTCTGTGAGGAAGGAATCTTCACTCAGCTTTTGGGCCAAATTATTGTCTTTTAAAATGTGCGATTCTTGGTCTTCAGTGTAACGGTGTCCCCAGTTCTTGCTTTCTGTCCTGGGCAAGGCCTCCAGGGGTAGGGGTGGGGTGGTGTCCCTCTCGACAGACTCCCGTCAGGGTTGCCCAAGGGGAGACACTGCAACCCTGGACGCCACACCCTGACCAGCGGCACCAGCGGTGTCCGCGCTGTGGACAGCGGCCTCCTGGGCTGGCAGGGCGGGGGTCACTGGGAGGAGGATCCCTGGATCCGGGTCGTGGGGGTGAGCGTCATGAGGATGGAGGGTACTGGGGTGGGGGGTTGGGGGGCTCCAGGCTGTGGAGATGATCACCAGGGCAGAGGTTGCTGGCTGGGCGAGGGTCACCATGGTGGGTGTCACCAAGGCGAGCGACTCTCCCATGAGGGCTGAGGAGGAGCTGGGGGCATCACAGGGGCAACGTCGGGGCCAGGATCCCAAAGAGGGCCGCGCCGCCATCACACCCGACCCCTGCCCCGGCGCGGACCTGCCGCCCGCCCTCACTCACTGCGGCTGCTGCAGCTCCGGCCACAACAGCCTTCGGGATATTGCATGCACATCCAGGCGCACAGACACGGACTGTGCCTTCCTACTCCTACACCTGGAGGACTTGCGGCCCAGGTTACACAGCTCGACTTTGTTCTTAACAGCGACACGCCAGCACCACTGGCCGCAGGTGTGCTGACTTGTCCAGGAAAACAGAGCTTTGAAGGCTAGTTTGCTTTGGAACGTGGACGGTGCAGACCGTGGGCAGAGCAAGGGAGGGCTGCCAACCAGAGCCTGTGGTGGACGAGATCCCCTCTTCCCCCAGGGCCCCAGGATCACAGCCTGTCTGGACAGCGCAGAGGGTGCTGGCAGGGCTACCGCGGAACCTGGTTAGAGCCGAGAGAAACCTAAGTGAGACCTGGAGGCTGGTCACGTCGGACGGCCTGTGGGAGAGCCCGCAGGGCGGGTTTCACGTTCACCTGAATTTAGATGCCCCTGCACGCCGGGGGTGGGGGCCATGTGGCCGCACCGCAGGGTCACTTCCCCTGAGCGACTCAGCCCTGACTAGGACGCACAGAAATACAGCCTCGTGGCCAGATAAGCCCACCCCTAGGCCTGCCGCCATGTGTACAGCTGACAGCCATGTGACCGCAGGGTCACAGCCTTGGATCGGCGCTCTGAAAACGCACAACCTCCCTGCCGAGAACAGTCCTGAAGAAAGCAAGCACGACTGAGCGCGGACGCCAGAGGCTGCTGCTTCCTGACCGTCAACCGGCTTCAACCGCCTTGGGAGGGGCGACCTCGGAGGGAAGGAGTCTTGAGCGGGACGGCAGCGCCGGACCCCCGTCCCATGGCTGGGCGGGCACCTGAGTCCAGACGCCCGGGCCACGCCCCCAGCCGGGTCCCAGCGCAGGCGGTGCAGGCCGGGGCCCCTGCGCCCCCGCTTCTGCGCCGGGGAGGAAGACAGCAAAACCAACCACGGATTCCCTGTGCTCTTCTTAACTTTGTGTCGCGTCCACTTTTTATAGAGTATGGGGGGGTGGCTTGTAATCAGGAGCTTTTTCTTCCCAACAAAAGGAAAAGGACTTTGCTGAAAGAGAAGTTAAAAAGTCACGCAGGGACCGGGCAGCAGCGGTGGCACCGAGGCTAGACGCACGGGTCTTTCCTCCTCCCCGGCCGGTGGGCGTGGCCTCTTGGAGGGCGTGGTCTCTGCAGGGAGAGCCGCTGATTTCTCGGGAAACCCTCGTTCCCTCCAGTTCTTCCATTGCGCGGAGCAGCAGAGACACCTCTGCCTCCCACACCACTTGTTTCCCTTGTGGCTTTGTCCTGTTTTCTCTTCATGCAAATGAAATAAATACAAACCAGCACCTTCTTTCAACATGAACACT